TTGATCACCACCCAACTTTCTTAAATAAGTCATGAGGCAAAGGCCACAACTTCAAAGGGAATCTCTTCACTGATTTCAATGGGCTTTGGATCAAGCCCATAGATATTACAGCATACTTTGATGGACAACTCTTGGCAAGAGTAGTTTGGAGTGGTGAGTAGTCTGCATGCCCATGATATCATGTCTATAATATGTATGAAGCCTCTTAGGTGGGGCAGTTCCTGAGGTCTCTCCTGAACCACAAACACTTATTCATGCACAAGTAATTCACCTTAATGCACCTTATCACATTGCAGCTCTAATTAACACAGGGATTTAGTCAAAGAGCATGATGATGCAGGTACATCACTTTTCTTCCTCTGCTGGACTAGCTTGCCGTCTGCTTTACTTCATCTGCTAGGCTCAGCTTGAAAACACTCAGCTAAATCTCTGTTCTATGGCTTGTTTTCTAAATAGCATTCCCTTTACGTGAGCTACCTATCTTTTGGGCCTAGTCTTTTCCTACCTTGTGGGCATATCTACACATGTGCCAGACTACGCAGTTGTTACTAAATGTCTATGAAGTAACCAGAGTTACTTCACAGTCCCAATGCAGCACAGGTTTTTTCCCACGCTACTACACACTACCAACAAGCTACTGTGCAGTAGTGTTGGCATCACAGTTTGCGCCCGCTGATGCTACATCGCCATAATGATGAGCTATGGAGATGTAGCTTATCACTACGGTGACATGGCATCTTCTGTAGACATGCCCTGTAAGTTGCTACTTGCTGCATCTTCAAGAACACACACACTTACATAGCTGCAGATTTGTATGGCTGGAAGCCTTTTCTGTTCATCAGTAATCATTATAGCAAGTAGCTACAGCATGATTTACACTGTTGTAGAGAAGGAAATTCAATATTGTGTTGTCACAGAGAAAAGTAAAAGAAGCAGAGCAGTTTCACACTTCTACTCTGTAAGAAACATGTAAAAAATAATCTCAGGTATCACATGATACTATGCTTTGAATGTTTGTGATGCCAGGGACTTAGTCATTAGAGTTTCTCATAGAACCCACAATGTTTAGTTTCAGCCAATTAATACAATATGGCAAGAGCTTTCAAATGTTTCCATAGTGTAGAATAGAAATATTGTCTTGCGCATTGGCATTTGAGGTCTTTGGTTTTGTTCCAGTGCACAGGAAAAACAAATCTCAAAACTTTGAAAGCTGCCATGCATGGAACAGAATTCTCATTCTGAAAACCAGGAATTAATGAATCAAATATGGACCTAGTGTACAATGAATTAATACAAATCTACTGAAATTGAAGAAACTGCATCCCTTTTCAGTAGGCCTTATTATGGCCTAGTGTATGTTACCATAGTAGGACTGTGTGCAAAAGTCTGTGCAGAAATGGAATACTTGAAATATAACTCAATTTAATCGATGGATGGTCAGATAACAATAAAGGCTGCATTTGTCTGTAGAGGCAATGGCTTTGTCTCATGACAGGGATCCTGACTGGAAGCAGGGAGACAAGCAGAAATCAAGACTAGATTTACAAGCATAAATATAGTGTGTAGACACAGTATTTGTTAAATACAAATATACCAGCCAAAAAGATTAATAGGAAGGAAATTCAGTGGAAATTAAAATCTGGGCCCTTGGGTTTGAGATCTAAGCTCTAGGGAGGCTACATTAAAAATAACAAGCTTTCGGTAATATCATGCTTTAGGATTGCTTAGATGTTGTGTGGAATCCCCCAGAAATTCACTTCTAATATCTGATGGATTTTTATGGTCACAAATGTTGTTTGTATGCTTTTTGGTTTTGCATAAAAAAGACTTTTTGTTTGTTTCTTTCTTTTGGTAAATCACAATGTGCTACTTTGCCATGAAAGGAATTACTTAAAGGAAGACACTTAAAGAAAAGGCAAAAGAGAAAGGAGGACTGTGCTGGAGGACTCAAGAGACATGGTTCTGTTCCCCAGTCTGCTATACACTTCATGTAAACTTTGGAGAAGTCATTTGGGACCAGGTTCACTACTGACCATTTTGCTTCACTCTGTCCAAAAGGGACTGTAAATTCAGTGAAAATACCCAGAAGAGAACTCCTCTTCCGGTGCCACTTTGCTGCAACAGTGTCATACACCTGTAGTACCCCCTGCCTCCTAGCAGAGAAGAGGTGGCAGAGTGGAGGTCTATTATTCTAGGCTTCCATTTTTGAAGGAACTGTATGTAAAAAATTGCTCTAAGCAGCACCTCCACTGAGGCTGCCTCTTGTGAATCAGCAACCAGAGCCCTGGTGCAGGAAGAAATCTCGCCCTTTATCTCTCTGAGCTTCCATTTTCTATTTGTAAAACTGGAGTGGTAATGCATTGTCTCTCCCAGTTATCTGTCTGTTAACTGTCCATTAATTGTAAATTCATTGCAATATGGACTGTCTCTTGGGATGAGGGAGCACTCATCCTGAAGGCCGCATCCTCAGCTGGTGAATACCAGCGTAGTTTTATTGAAGTCACAGTGGCACAGCACTGATTTATACCATCTTGCCTTTGGAGTCCTGAAAAAGGAACCCTCTCCTATTTCATTTCCTCCTCTTCCCTAGCTCTCTGACTTGAAAAGCAGACAGGTGTGCCAACTCCAACCAAGGATGAGTTGAGAAGCACTGTGATTCAGGCACTCAGATTGAGGGTTCATATTTCCTATGTTGTCAGTTTTATGGTCTGTTTAATGTTGCCTTCTGCAGTTACCCTGCATACCGTCACCACATTCCCAAGACAACTGTAGTTTCTAAATGGAGGCATTTTCTCTCTTTTTTTTACCCTTCTTTACTTTCAGGAGGCATTTGCTGTCTAAGTTGCACATACTCTGAGCCCAAGGTTAAACTCTCTCCATTAAAATTATTGTGTGCCCATGAACTGAGTTACTTGGAAGTAATTGAAACTTCGAGGACATTGTGCTTGTGAATACAGAGGAATGCTAATGAGCTGCAACCTCTTTTAGTTCCACAACAAGCTGCTTTAAATGGCTATTGGAGAAGGAATCCAACAGAAGTTGTCACTTCTTGGGAGAAAAGTATTCAAGCTGTTTAGGTAAAATGAAAAATGACCTGAGTATTAACCTGAACCTCAAGCTAAATTTATGGTCAATTATGAATATATTTGGTCTTTGTATATTTACCTTTTTCCAAGTGCATTCTTACTTTGCAGAAATATCAATACAACATTAAAAGACTATTCTCATTAGAATATATTTAATACCAAGCAAAAAACAGGAAGTATCAGACGTATCAAGAACAGAAATGGTCACAATTGCAAAGAAAAAGCTATTCAAAGATTATATTTAATTAAACAATGGAAAATATTTCAGGATATCATCTGAAAGACTATTCATTTGTTTTTGGCTGGCTATAGGTCTACTTGAAAATTTTGAAATTTTCATTTTAAATGTAAAAATGTATTATTTCAATAAAAGTATAGAACTCTGTTTTGTGAATTCCAGGTGGGTTTTTAAGACAAAACAGATTCAGATACATTTTAATTAGACTTCACTTCAGGCAACATATTGATATTTTGGAGGCTTATCTAAATTGAACTGTAAATTCTTAGGTTCGCCCATTGCTAATTGAAGCCAAAACCACCCAGATGAGTCAGTTCATATGTCTGAAAAAGATTTTTCTAAATGTTAGTATTGCAAGTGCAACCTGATCTCTGAAAAGCATGCCATGTTTTCTCTCTCTCTTCCAGACACCGTTGCTGAAATTAAAAGATTATGTAATCAAGTGATCTGACAATTTTGCTGATGATATACGAGTCAGAACAAATATAACTTGGTTTTTGTTTGAATAGAAGGCCCTGAAGTTGTATTTTCAGAAATGAGATGTTTTGGTTAAATCTGTAGTTTGCTTTGGTTTTATATATAGCTGCTTGGTAATAATAGGTCACTGAGAGGGTTAAACTGAATGACATTGTGCCTGCCAAGCTTTCTAAGGTTAACTTTGTTCACATATAAATTTGCACCTAATTTTGTGGGAGGAGATACAAATGTGCCTTTGCAAAACAGGCATGTGCAGATTAGCACTTGCATTTTTCCTACCTTATTTTTACATGAAAAGTCACACACATTGGACATTTATGTGTATATGTATGTTTATTCATTTACATGTAAATAATTCTAACAATCTAGCTCTATGGCCCTGATACTTCTCTATATTGCTTTGTAGAGATCCAATAATGCATAGCAGCCTTTAAGCTGGTGAAGCAGATTATCAAAAATCACTTTTTTGCATGAGAAACCATGGGCATCAATAAACTCTGGCTATAAGCAGACATTGTCCTTAGAGCAGGATCAGCTGTTCCAGAATGTGTCCCAGCATAGCTGATCTGTTTAACTGAGTGACAGACATCAACCACCGTCTTAAGTTGGGGCACAATAGTGTGATACATACACCAGGGAATCCCCTGCCAGGTTCTCAGGACATGCCTCTGCAAGAAGGAAAACCTAGGCAGGTGCTCCTAGGATCTCAGGGGCCTGATCCTGTGAGGGAATTCCTGGAGTGCTCAGGATCAGGCCCCAGGAGCCCCTGCCTAGGGTTGATGGATAGCGTGGGCACCTCCGGACTGCCTGTACTCTTGCACTATAAAGCAAACAGGCACCCAGTGCAAACAAGCAGCACAAATTTTACCACCTTTTGTCACAGCCACACTTTGGGGCATTTGTGGCACAACTAGGGGCATGGACATCCATTTGCCTGGGCTTTGTGCCAACATATAATGTGGCACAAATGCTACATCTGTTTGCAGTCTATATTAGCAGTTTCAGTGCCACCCCTATTCTAGTTGTTGTATGATAAGGAGTTATAGGAGAGCATCCTTAAAACCTGGAGTTGTAAATCCCTTGTGAAAGGTGACAGCTGACTAATTAGAATAGCCTTCAGGGACCACACCAGCATGTGGATAACTCTGGTTAGAGGAACCTAAAAGCATAAATATATTTTTTCTACTGTTCTTAACCAGACTGACACTTGTTTGGCTGCCCTAAATCCCTGTGATCTCCAGGGCCCTCTGATAATGGAGTCATCATGTTAACTGAAGAGGTCATCAACAGATGTGTACATTCACCTTATGTATGTATAAGCCAACTTGTATAAACACAATACAAACTGCAAATATATCTCAAGTAGATGCACATAGCACATACTGAACAATCTGTCAACACAAGTAAATTAAAGCAGAGGCAAATATATGTAAAGATTTCAGTAGTCAAAACATCTAACAGTGGATATGTCAGAACCCAGCTCTACAACATATTCATCGAGTGGCAATAGATTCCACAAGCTAATTAATATAACACCCACTTGGACAGTGTAATTTTTAAACATTTTCCAAAGAGATTCATGACTAACTGCATTGTGTATGACAATCTCTAGCTCTTACCTATTTCAGTCTGCTGTTAAGTTCTTATAATATTTCTTATAAGAAATATAGCATAGTATTTCTTATATATTTCGCTTTGGAAACCACATGCATGAACTAATGAGTTATGCATTCTGCTGCAGCAAATGCATTGAAATGCATGCATGTTAGCAAATATTTGGTTTTTGCTATTTTATTCCAGCTCTATCCTGTACAATGGTAGAATTTTAAAACTAGATGAATATATACAGCATGTATGTATATTCATGTGTGTGTGTGAAAGAGTGGGGGTGTGTGAAGTACACAGTAGGTAGGTCTGACTCACCTACACTTTAGGATTACAACTAGTATAAATTCATGGATTTTAATGATATAACGGCAGCATAAAACTGGGCCAATGCAGTGGTGAATCAGTCCCTGAATATATATACATCGTATTGCGAGAGCTGGTTGTATTTGTGTGTTATTATAATGTTGACCCAGGTTCATGATTAAGGTTGAATGTATACACACATGTACTTGAGACTTTCCCAAGGAGACTATCACTGTTCTACCAAAGTTATGTGTCTTATCACACATGCATGTAGGCGTGATAAAGCAGTGGCAAATCCCAGTTAGCTCCATTCAGCACGAGGGATTTCATGTAATACTATGCTGCCCCAGGTGGAAAATATGGAACAGACTGTCCTATTTCACCATGACTGGGAGTCCCATGCAGCACTGCAGATGTCCTCCACCACACCAGCCGTAAGCCATTGGGGCAACCTCTATGAGAATCCCTCCTTCACACTGTGTGAGTAGTGCCAGCAGCCTCCCAGGATTTCCTCCCAGCCATACAGGCAGTGCCATTGGTGCACAGACCTGCATGCTACGGTTTGGGACACTTTAATATAGTCTATGGCAACAGTACTCATTTCTGCTACATCATCAAAAGAACAAAGTACAGAAGTTGAACTGTGCTGAGAGGGATTAATAATTTTCATTGACCATGTAAATAGCAGGCCGGTTGAAGCAGGAGGCCCTTGTTTGGAATCCATTGTATATTCCTGTTCTCTCTCCATCACTACCTTTTACATAGTGGATGATGGAGCCTCTAAATTGTGGAACATTTTAATCAAAGTGAGTCAATGCATTCTCTGCCTAATCCAAATAACTGCTCAAGAGAAACTGTGATAATAGGGCCAAGGATTAGAATTGCTGTCATGCAAAGGAAAACAGTATTTTAAAAGAACACAAGAGATGGGCTAGGGAGGGGTAGTGGTAGAAGGCGGTGTGTTGCATTGACTTGGTCTCTCTAGTGAGATTTTTGCAATTCAATTAGAAGTCTATATAGATTTAACAGCTCTTTGTTGAAAATACACCTCCATCCTATACCTTCTGGTGTTGGCACATAACATCTGCTTCTGTATAATCACGATTTTTCAATGGCTCAAAGGGCAAAGGAGCCTGAGGCTCTCGCATCCACTGGAGAGCACTCAAGGATTTAAACTGGAGCAAGAATGACGTGCAAAGAGAGCTGATGAATATGGGCGTCCACCCATGGGGGTGGCCTGAAAAGCATGTGCGCACATGAAGCAGAATTGAAGCAGCTTGTCTCCAAAAGAGTTGTCCCCTAAGGGCATGTCATTCATTTGGAATTGAGGGAAAGTTATGGTGTTGTTTTTAGCCTTTGAAATCGGATGCTTAGATGCATAATGAGTAGGGAGGGGAGAAGCAAATGGGGGAAGATGAAGCAGTTGTGGTTTGGAGATGGAGCAGTTGTGTATCCAAACAGATGGCCAAGTTACAAAGTTCTTACACAGGCAAACTCCCATTAAGCCAAAGGGAATTTATCCAGAGTAAGAACGGAGTGAAAAACTTGGGGAATTAGTTCTGAGTTTGAATGGAAAGGGGCATAATTGGTTTATTGAATAGCTGGCTCATCCCTTCATTTGAAGACCATCTGTCAAGAAAATGACCTTTTCCAGCTTAGAAACTCAGGGAATTAGTGAACAGGATGAAATATTATAGCTAGATGTGTATACAACTAGGAAGTTTTGCTTGCAGGAGTTCTCATAGATCCTCTCTTTGGTTCTGGCTTATGATGGGCTCAGATTATATTTGTATGCTACATTTGAATGAAAGAAAGCATCATGGTGAATTCTTCAAGTTTCACTTAGTTTGCAATAATAAACCCAGATTTGTTTGACTAGTTTCAGGTTTACTTGGAAATGATGGGACAACTGGTCAATTGGGTTCAGGCTTTGAGATTGTAATGAAACATGAAGTCAAAAGGAATTTTGTGTCATTTAAGTTTTCACAGTGGAAGGCCAACCCAGCCCTAGCCTAAATTCCTAGGCTTGCCACAGACTCTTTACGTAGGCTTCACCAGCTTTCTTAACTTGGATTTGAAATGCATGCATTTAAGCCTTCTGCTTTCCAGGGTTACTTCATGGCTTCTAAAATTGATGTTTGAAAAAGGCTTTTAAGATCTTTGGATATAATTGATTCTATCAGTGCATTCTACACAGTAAGCAATAGAAGCAACAAAGACTGAACCACAAAAATGTGGTTACAATGAGTGTCTCAAATAACACAAACAATAAAGAGGGCTAGAAGCAAGTCAGACAAGCACAACTAATACACTCTTGGGTAACCTATGAAACCTTGGTGGTGCCTGAAAGGCCAAGGCTAATTTAGAAAATGAAATGTCCCTCTGATGTTATTTCTCTGTGTAGTTTGATAACATCTAAAGGTACATTGACTAAAGCCTGAAGCTAAAACTCCCTGATTACAGTTTACTTTGCTCTGTGGCCAAGTACTTCTGTCACTTTCAATCTGGGTTTCCAGGGCTTGACATCTTCATGTTTTATCACTAGCAAATGAAAAATCCCATTCCACCTTTTTCAGATGGCTCAGCTTCAGGGTAGCAGTGTTAGACCAGCACAGGGCCCCAGCTGGAGCTATTAATTTCCATAGTGTTAACAATCAGCATAAATATGCCATTTCCAGGACAATGTGTGAAATCCTTTACCCATGTGGGATACCTGAGGGTTTGGTTTAAGACAGACTTAGAAAGAAGAGACAGTTTGAAAAGATTTTTATCCTAATAACTAAAATGCCCATCTTGTGAGAGGCAGCTATTTGCCAGATAGGATCTATGCATATATATATATATATATATATATATATATGAACAAACATATAATAGCCAACAAGGAACAGTTTGACTAAACTTACATTCACAGCTGTATCTTTAGTTTTGTATAATATACCTATTTACATCAACTGAAAAGAAAGCTCATAATCTCTAGGCACTGTGATGTTCTATTATATATGAGAATATATTAAAATATCCCTTTTATCAGTTTCCATTTTATGTGCATGGTGTACAAACTCTGCTGAAATATAATAGAGATATATCAGTTTACAATATTGCCAGCCTAAAATTGCCAGCTTTCCGGAATGGAATTGTTATGTGTCCTTTCACAGTGTTATATGCCATGTACTTCCTTCTGCCTGTTTATCAATCTACCACCATAGTTTTAAAAGGCTTATCTTCTACTTTACTTCACTTTGTTAATTCTTCTTGAGTTGGCCTAACTCAAGCAACAATGATCCCACTGTAAAATGAGATGTGATGCCGCACAGTATAATTAAAATAGTGGCACTGAATATTTGACCCAACAGTACAGAATTCCCTCTGCATTACTAGCTCAAAGATCAGCAGCACTCTGCCAGCACTTCACCCCCTGATAGCTAACTCAGCTTTGTTCTAGCACAAGGTACAACGTGCCAACTGCTAGCATGCCTCCAAAGCCAGATAAGCAAGGCACCAGACATTTGATTTCTTCCTCCAGCATGAATGCGAAATATAGCTAACAAGTTGAAAACACCACTTAACTTTTGTGTATGCACAGTAGTCAGATTAGGGAAAACACTTGAGTTCTACCTTGAGCAAACGCTCCAAGGAAGATAGCTCTCCTGAGAAGGTGTTTGGCTACAGTGACCTAAGACCACTTTATGCCTGAATGAGAAAATTCCTCTAGTTGTTTAATTTTACTTTAATTTATGTGCAGTGACTTCAAGCCATTTGTAGGATATCCCATGCTGACAAGACTGTACTTGTACTGTATAGACTGTACTAGTACTTCCATTTATTTCAGTAGAGTTGCACAGCTAAGCTGAAGACTGGGCCCCCAAAATATTCCTTCTCAAATCACTCCCTTTCAACCTGGAAACAATACAAATTTAAGAACTCCTAAGAGCCTTTGGCATATCATTGAAATAGAAATGTTTTGTTGGAAAGACATTGATTTTGACAGAAATTCCTCATCTTTGGTGGGAAAATTCTTTGTAAGAAAAACAAATGTTGAATTAGCAACATTTCCCATTAGACATAAAAGTCATTTTCCAGAAAACTCTACTTAAGAAGTTATATGAGCTCTGCAGCATGTCCTGAAGCCCAAACGTTCACTCTCTTAGATATGAGGAGAATTGGTATCAGAAGGAAGGCCTCTTCATCAGACTACCATGCTATCATTCTCTTCCCATTTAAACCTAGGGACAGCTCTCTCAAGTGGCTCACCTGAGCTCTATTGCAGTAGTACAAAAGGAGATGCACTTGTAAGAGATCGAAAGCCTGAAGCAGTCATAAATGATCAAATTTTATCATTAGACCAAATTAATAAATGGGGTTCCCCACATAACAATATTGAGGTTTTGGTGGTTT